ACCCTACCGGTCAGAATGGCCCCCCCCCCCCTCCCCTCGTCACGAACGGCGCAAGAACCACCCGGTTGGTTCTAGTAGTATTCAATCCGGTTTAGGTCTCAAATACACCATTAGGACCAGAGGAAATAGTTACCTAACTAGTTGATTATGTTAATTTTGTTCAATTAAGAACGCGGAGTATATGAAAAAATAAATAAAGGTTAGGAAATCTCTATATTAACACAATAAAATAGAATTTGGAAACCTTTTTGTAGCAAAAGCCTATTGAAATTATTATTCTATTACTCGGTAATATGCAATGCAATTTGGAGTATAATTATTGTGTTCCTCCCGTCGGATTAAGTATTTCCTTTGAGAATCATTTTCCTGCTGCGATTTTGAGCATTCCAAGCACAGCTAGGCTTTACTTCTCCATTTAGGCCCAATATTTTGGATTGGAAAAATTAACTTTTATTTCTTTTAGTTTTTTTTAATTCCTTCTAGTTCATTACAATTTATTTTCAACTTTCTTCCAACAATGACTTAAAAAGATTATTTATTTATGATCAATATAGAAAAATGATATATCTAAATTTATTACATAACACTCAAACACAGACAAGGATAAATTTTTTTAATCTAAAATTAAATTTTTTTCTTACATATTTATTTGGGTGATTATTTAATTAAGTGATTTTATAACACTTTAATTCATCTAATATTTTCCAACTCCTAACTTTTTCTAACTTCTTCCAGTTTCTTCCAATTCTTCTGAGTTTCATCCAGCATCCAACTCTAAAATTCTAACACAAAAAAACAAGAACTTATTGTGTTTTTGAGGATCCAAGATTCAATTCATAAATGCATTATTACTGTTATTCTTTCCCATAAAAATTAAAAAGATACTCCATATTTGCCAATACAAGATTTTTCTTCATCATACTCCATGTTCGCTTTCGTTTTAGAAACATATCCATGTTACATATATTCTATCTTGAGAATGCAAACACATATCTTATTTGAGAATATCGTTTTTATCACCACTACATTTTGAACAATTTTTAATGGTACTAATTAACTTCACAAACATAAAAATAAATTAAACATTACTCCATATTATTAGAATATCTTTTCAGCATTCAAAAATAAAAAGAAGAAAAGAATATCTTTTCAAAATGGCAAAACTAAACCTTTAAAGATGTAGCTAAACGGGTTCATAATAACACGGGTGGTTTTTGATTTGTCAGACCACCGGAAAAGGTGCTAACGGCCGTAGGCGTTAATGGTGGTTTAACACGGGGACATTAAACACCGCCTCCTTTACCGTGGGCTACGTTAAAGGTTTGACGCAGCGCTTCTCCCTCTCCCAACGGTTCTCCCTTCCACAACGGCCATAACTTGGACAGCTGGGCATTAATCTTTTTAAAAAAATATTTTTAATACTAAATACCTCTTACTTTTAACACAACAAACACACACAATTTATTCTCATTATCTCCATAATTTCTCTAAAATATATTGTACTTCTTTTAATTATCTCTACAAAATACTCAAAAAATGAGATCATCATCTGACAATGAAAAGAGAGCTCTCATTTGTCATTATCAATGGTGGCAACAAGGCTAATGAGAAGATATTTTTAGTCGCTCGAATAATCATTAATGTCTTCGTAATGTAATGTATTTTTTTATTTATGTTGGCATTCAAATCTTATTATATTATTGTAACTTTTTATTGAGTGTAATTTTTTTTATTTAATGAGTTATTGTTGTTTAAATTCAATTATTAATTTAGTTTTAGAAGATGTGTATTCAAAAATGTAAAAAATAGAAGTTTGAAGCCCAGGGCTTCAAGCCCATTTCTAGTAAAATTTTGGTATAAATTAAAGTTGATATGACATAGAGAGAAAATTTGAAGTGCCGGGGCTGCACGACCATTCCCAGTGCTCTCAGACTCATTCAACTTCGCATGACTCCAAAAGTAAGAAATTTATGTCCCATTTTTAAGTTTTTTTTTACAATTATGTAAAATTATGTACATTCAACTACAATCCACAATCCAATTCTTAAACTAGGGTTATTTTTTATAATAAAAACTATAATTATTAGATATAAACAAATTGCATCGATCTCTTCTTAAGTTATTTATAGGGTCTAGAAACAATATGGACGTCGCCACATGATTTTAGAGTCCATTGACAATCAATTTGGATTCATGTAATCCACTTCAACTTTTCGAGTTAAATTGGGTCAAGTAAAATCTCAATTAATCTTGATTTGTGTTACATATCAACTCAATAAATTAAAATTTTAAATTTTCTAAGCAAGAAAAATTTATTATAATAATTTTTATACTAAAATATATTGCATTTTTTTTATTTTTAGGATCTAAAGTTCGTCTCTAAACAAATTCATTGGGAGTGAGGTATTATGTTGTTTCATGAAAGTAATCAAATTATAAATATACTTTAACATCCCATTGTCATCTAAAGGAGGCGATTGTAATTTTAGGATTAAATATATCTTTTAGTTCCCATAAAATATTACGCAGGCGATTTTCCTTTTTGGTCTTCGTAAACTTTTTCTTGATTAATTATCCTTACAAAATATTTTTAGAACCATTTGCACTAAATAGCACTAAAACTTAAGTCATTTCTCTAAATAGCACTTAAATTGTTTTATTCCAAAAATAACACTTAATAATATCCAGAAGAAGGAATAATGTTCATGATGGCAACATTTACTTGAATAATGACTAATGGATACTGACTAAAAGTTACATTGGGAAAAACGCATATTATGTTGTTTAGAGAAAGTCATTATGTTTTAATACAATTTTAGTAAATTTCTCATATTTTAATTGTGAAAATAGTTTTTAAACATAATTAAGACTTTTGATTTTTTTAAACATCACATTTAGTTCGTATTCAACAGTCTAGTCTTGCATTAACAATTACATCAAACACAATTCTCATGTCTTAAAATATGGCTTTCATCGTATAATATCCCTGATTTTTGAATTTTACTACGGAGTATAATATATTGTCATGAAATTTGAAAATTAAAGATGTAATATGCATAAAGACACAATTTAGGGCATGAGAATAGTGTCGGAGGACGTAGGTAATTACAAAAAGAAATCTCCTTAAATAAGAGCAAAAAAATTAGAAAATACCAAAATAAAAGCCCTAAGTTTTTTAAGACCAAAATAAAAGTATAATGGTTGTGTAGTGCAATAGTACGCGTTGACAACACTTTTGTAGCTGGCGGCGACGATTGACAATATGGTGGTGATAGTGTGAAAATTACAACGTGACAACATAATGAGTATGACAGTGTAACAATGACAGCGTGAACTCATATTTTGGTCTTAAAATTTGTATGACTCTCATTTTAGCATTTTCAAAATTCTTACTCCTATGTAGGGAGTTCTCTGAATTAAAAATTCAAGACTAGAATATTGATTATGAAATAAATGTGTTATTCCAACTAATTAGACGTGTTAATTAATTTATTAGCTATTTTCAAAATAAAAATTTTTGCAAAGATGCTTTAATTCCTTTAAACAAAAAAAATTACAAGAATCAAGAATTAAAATGGTCTATTTTACACCTTTAATTATTATTTTGAGAACTAATTGTGAATGAATCAAATAAATTCATTCCATTTGTGATTTTGTATACATTTTTGAAAAAATCCAAATCAAAACTTGAATCAGAAAAAAAGATTTGAATTGTATGGAATCCGAAAAGGAATCAATAATAATTATTGGATTCGTATTTTGAACAAATATATTCGGTTGCAATATTTACCATATATACCCCGGCTAATATATTCGGAGACACGGAGTAGACGGCTAGCACTCTGTCTAAAGCCGTCTCTTTCAATAGTCCGAGCAGGTATGAATTGTTTCCTTTATTTTCCAAATCCACATATTTGGGAATAGCGTTATAGATTAACATTAGCGTTTTGAAAAAGTTATTCACGTGCAGTGTTTAGCGCTAGTATTCTCAACATAATCTGCATTGTTGATTTTTTATAAAAAATGTTAACGATAATCTCTAACGTCATTTCCAAACATGCGATTCGAATTCTTTTCGACTTTCTCATACTTTCTTACTCTCATTTAGAGAGAAAAAAAGAATTTAATGTAAATCAACTGAAAATATTCAAATTTGAATACCATGCTAGCTAATACAAATATAGAGTACTACATAATGTCGGAAGGGTTCCATTTCCGACATTGACACTACAGTGTCACTACCATTTTTGAGAATCTACGTTTTTCATTTGTAAAATTGATAGTTTTTATCTTTCTAACCTTCGGTAAACTTCACCTGGCCCATCCCGAACTCACTCCCCAATCCCTTCATGTTCCTCTCCAAATTTTTTTTAGGTTTGGAGTCAAAATTTTGACCTTAAAGTCATTAGAATTTTGGAGTTGAAATTGAAGGGGTCGGGGGTCGGTTTGAGTCGGGTCAGTAGCAACGAAACCTAACTGACACAATATTTACTCCATATGAATTTTCGATTCGATTTTTTTACGTATAGTTGGACTTAAAACCTCTTAAGTAAATAATAATAATAATAATAATAATAATAATAATAATAATAATAATAATAATAATAATAATAATAATAATAATAATAATAATGGGCCGGCTAACTTATGAGGTTCACTTAACATCCTACATTTGGACACAAGCCCAAAATCTAACTCTTTCCTTTCCTCAATTATTGTCCACAACCTTCAAAAGCAGCACCCACTATCATCTCACTGCACTCGTGGTCGTCTGATTCCACGAATAATTCTCTTCTCAACGCCCATTTTGAGATATTTAATTGAGACTTTAAAAAAATTTTCTAAATCTTATAATATAAAAAATTAATAGATTTTTAAGGATTATTATAAAAAAAGAATTGTAATGATTTTGAGATTGAAGTATAAATAAAAAAATTACTTCCAAATCCAATAAAGCCAAGCCAGGGATTCTACTTCAAAGAGCCGGTCTTCATCTCCGTTCATCTTCTCCAACTCTTTCGTAGGCGGATCTTCATCTCCGGTCTTCATCTCGTGCTTTTCCGGTAGAGCTTCCGCCTCTTACTCCTCATCTCCTTCCCTTTCTTCCTCTTTTCTCCATCTCTCCAAGTATGTCCTCTTAACACCACCCTTCATCTCTGTCCCCTTTGCCTTCTTCTTCTACTTGTGTTTATGTGCAACATAAAATTGTCACTTTTTTGTTTGCTCTGCTCCCTGAATTGTCTATTATATCAATTGTCTCTTTAATGCATCATTGTTTGGTTCCTCCATTGTCTTCAATTATAGATTTCTAGGTTAATATGGTTATGCCCTCTATGTGTTTGAAGAAATGTCAAGAAGAGCTGTTCTTAATATGTTAAAGAACTGTTAAAACAACTTAAAACAAAGTAATAAATCTCTAGTAAAATATAGACAATGATTACTTGTGTACAATATATACATAGCAATACATGATACTTGATAAATTGCAAAAATACCTTCAAAATGGACCAGGGGTAACATCATCTAAAACATCCGGAGTACAACATATAGACTCTCTCCCAAAGAACTATCTATGGACATATATATCACATATATACATTAAACGTATCTGTTAAGCATACATGAAGTGAAAAACGAAATTAAATTGAACCAATTCAGGTTGTATAATTTTCTTGCATTAGATTCAATCTACTGGATTTTATTTACAGAGAGGCTGGTATTGCTATATATTTAATCAAATTGAACCAAAAGAAAATACATTAAATAGAGTCGTCTTCTTCATCATATCTGGACATGGAAAAAGAAAATTCTGAAATACTTTCTCAAACTCATCAACAACAAAGAACATAAGTTAACGCTTGGAGACATGGCATTGCTGAAGCTATGTGGGGCGATCGACCACAAAATGATGATAATGAGGAGAATGGAGAAGGTTTTAGTGATAATGAAGTTGAAATGGAAGACTTTGTTGTTTAATAATTATATTTTTCAATTATCTTTAAATTTTAGATAATGTCTTGTTTTGTATTTTTTATTTTCATTGATGAATTTTGACATACAAGAAAAATGGTTGAGAGATAATAACACTTTTTGTTGTAAAAACAAATTTAATGCTTATGACATTGAGCACTACACGGAGTATTATTTTATTTTAATAAACATATTATGATCTTGAAAAAGTTTTTAAAAAATACTTTATTTTTATTTTATTATAATTTTCTCAAAATTTTTAATAGCTAATCACAATAGTTGATGTTACAATAATGTATAACTTTATAAAATAATTCATATTTAAATATAAAAAAATTATGGATTATAAACAATCAGACAGAATCCTATAAAATCCTGCTGATAAAATACATTAAAATCTAACAAACTCTGCTTAGACTTAAAATAATCCATGGATTTTACATAATCCATAGACTTTAAACAATCTATCGAAATATTTCAGAATCGTGATTGAATACACCCCCTGCAGTCTTGGCGGCTGCTTCTACTTCCAGCATCTTCATCTAAGGCTATTCCGATTCTGTTTCTTTGGGCAGGCGTACGTATTGGGTTCCCCTGAATCTGCTAGTTGGTCAGAGCGTTGATGGCTCATCTTCAGCCCATTTCTTCGTGTTCTCCTGTCAATACATCTTTCGGAGGATCAGCTACCAAAGGTAGTGTCTTTTTGTTGCAGTAGTTGTGGGTTTTTAATGGAGTTCAATTATTCGGATGTGATGCAAATCTGTTGTCTTCTTACACTTGGTTTTAGCAGAAGATTTACTCTAGAATCTGGTTTTAAATTGTGTGTACAGCTTCATTTAGATTTCAAAACAAATTAAGCTATTCATGGAAGTTCACTTCAATGCAAGAGGTTATATTTAACTTGATCTCTCTCTCTCTCTAATTCTAAGAGGAAACATTTCATTTCACTTACACACTACATGTGGGTTATGCCAGCGCGGGGTAGGAGCTAGTGATTTTCTTGGCCATTCAATTGCCCAGAGGACTGTGAAGTTAACTTTGCCTATTAAAAATCATGGTAAGTTGTGTTCATCTGGAGATTCACAACATTTTCGCTTTCCCCGTCTAAAAGGGACTGTTTTGCTATTACAGTTCAGTTTTTAGACCACTCATAATGGGAAAAAAAATACGACACTCCTATGCTAAATATAAAAGTTAAACGTGTTAAACATTTTACGTGTGCTTGAGGGGAGCACATTCTGTGTACTGTTAGTGCTTGAAGGTATTCTAACTGGAACAAGGTTTAGTAGAAAATTTCACTCTATTTTAATAGTCTTTGATGCATAAATTCAAGTCTTGTGGCAATTTGCACTCTTTGGCGTAGTTTGGCCCATATTATAGGGAAAATGATATTGATGCACTTCACATGCTGCATGCTTTTTTGGCATGTCCAGTTATACAGTAGATTTCTGTAGAAGGTTATCAATGTTGAAAATGCAGCAAAAATCAGCAGGCATTGTAGAGTTACATTATACCTTTTCTTGTGGTCGTACTACGTCATTGGCTTATAGCTTCTATATCACCACTCCTTTCTAAGGATTGCACCTTTATTAACCGTATGATTACCATATAGTTTGCATATATGAAACCTTTCAACAAATTGTATCTTGGTTTTTGCTCTGTCCATTTTTATAATATAAACTTATATAGCTTCTACACTAAACCTCATAAAATCAGTGCTTTTTTACTGTTTCAAGCATAAACAAGAGGTATTTTTGTATTTATTTGCATAGTTGTACAGAAAATATTCTTTTATAGTCTTGAATCGTTATGGTATTTGCAGATATGTCTCACAGTCATCCCATTGGAGTTTTCTTTCAATTTTTCTGTTTGTTAGATGGAAATTTAGTATTTACCATCCCTAGAACTACTAATTGTTTGAGTGGGATATACTGAGGTTGTTTGGTTTGGTTTAGAGCTAACAGTTGTTCCTGAGTGTTGCAGGCATCCAGTCAGCTTTGACAAGTGATACTGCTACTGAAAGACGTGTTCCTAAAAAATTGAATAAAGTGGTTCTTGCTTATAGCGGTGGTTTGGATACTTCTGTCATTGTTCCTTGGCTAAGGTATGCACAATCCATAGCACACTATTCATGTGATTAGTCAGTCAACATGATATACACATGAACATGCAAATATGCCACTATTATTTTTTTAAACAAAATTTTCGTTTTGTAAATCCAAAGAGTGTGTGTTTGTGACCTATGATGAATCTACTTTTTCTAATCTAGGAACTTGTTAGTTTCTGGTTTGTTCTGTTAAGTGTGCTGGATTTGTCTACTTAGAAAAGTATGATGTACACTGTGTGTGTGCCTGTGCCCTGAGAAGTAGTACGTGTCTGCCTGTGGATGGCAGTGTTCTGAAATATTTTCAATACATTCTAGCCATGCAGTTAAGAAGCAATAAACCCCCTAAATTTTAGGATATGCTAATAGAAGTCTAGTAGCATTCAGTTAGCATTTTTATTGAAAACATGTTCATTGATTCTATAACTTTACAGCTTTACCATATCCTACCCCTGAATTTATTTCATATGCTCATCTTGACATTACACACACTTTTTATCTCCAGGGAAAACTATGGCTGCGAAGTTGTTTGTTTCACAGCAGATGTTGGTCAAGTATGTTCTTGTTAAAAAAATATACTGCATCCATCCCAAAGAATGACTCATGTTTCAAACTCTTTTTTGTTTCAAGAGAAGGCTCCAGCTTGATCAAATGATGTTACTTTTTTCATGTAGTTGTCAAAACATTGGGAAAAAAGAAGTCAAATATAAATTCAGCTAAACCAACTAATGAATTGTAAAAGTATTAGTAATTAGTACTCAGTATAATTCATGATTTATGACAGTTGTATCGTAACAAAAGTTAAAATGTTGCATGCTGGTCAAACAAGACTTTTTTTTTGGGATGGAGGTAGTACATGCTTGAAATTCAGTGCCAATCATCCTGAATGCTAGTTGCTGGTTTACTAACTTCATGGTTCTTGTGGCTCATAATTCTTCAGGGAGCTATTGAATTGGAAGGTTTGGAGCAGAAGGCCAAGGCCAGTGGAGCTTGCCAATTGGTTGTGAAGGATTTGAAGGAGGAATTTGTAAAGGATTTCATATATCCTTGCCTACGTGCTGGTGCTATTTATGAGAGGAAGTATTTGCTTGGGACGTCAATGGCACGCCCCATTATCGCCAAGGTTTGAACTTTGAAGTGCAATGGACAATTGAATGATTTTATATTTACCCTCAACGTTCCACGCATGCACGTGCACAAAAAGGCTGTCCCTGTGTGCTATTTATGTTGAACATACAATGCTTTATTCTATCTCAAATTACATATAGATGATGGAAGGGGCTAGTAAAATCTTCCTAGGGTTTATAAGTGACAAAATTTGTACATTTTAGGTAGATCTAGGCTTCTTTTATGTGATATCATTATATATACAACTGCATATTCATTTCTTTACCATAAGTTCATAAGTATCAACTCCATATTACTTGTGGTGTACATTCTTCTCATTCTTGTTTTTCTTCTTGAAATACTTGTAGGCCATGGTTGATGTTGCCAGAGAAGTTGGAGCTGATGCTGTTTCTCATGGATGCACAGGGAAGGGAAATGACCAGGCATGCTTAAAAATTTTCTTTGTTACTATTTATTCCCATGATTTCTTGATTTGTGGTGTGTGTTGAACCTGTCTTTATTTCCATCTTGAAAAAAAGACTATCTTTGATTATATTTATAGGTCCGATTTGAGCTTACCTTCTTTGCTCTGAATCCTGAACTTACTGTCGTTGCACCCTGGAGAGAGTGGGAAATTAGGGGAAGAGAAGACGCTATTGAATATGCCAAAAAACATAACGTACCTGTACCTGTGACGAAGAAGTCTATCTACAGCAGAGATAGAAACCTATGGCATCTTAGTCATGAGGTAAAATTCACTTTTTTTTAAAAAATCTTACCATTTATTACTTCTCTCTACATGCTTTTGGTGAAGATATATAAATTACTCAGAACTTTTGTATTAACCCCTTTTGGTTGGGAAGAGAAATCGGGAGGGAGGAAAGGGAGGAAAATGGAAGAGTTGAAAAAAGTTATGTGTAGTTCAATCGAGGAGCGAGATGAATTACTATTTTCAAAAGTATATAAAAATTTACAGTTACAATTTTGTAATAAAAATTGTGATCTATATGTATAACAATAAGGATGCAAAACAATTTTTAGAAAAAAAAGATGATGAAATTATATTTTCATAATACTCCAAACCATGGAGTGAGATATGAGAGAAGTTTGGAGGAGTCCATAGATCTTTGACTTTTCTTCCCCTCCCTCCCTTTTATTCCCCTAACCAAAGTACCAAGCACAAACAAAGATGCTAAAACCTCCATTACTTGCCTTCTATGAAATTTTGGCTTGTGAACAATTAATTTAGGATCTTCGGGTTTGAACTTCATTGTTTGATTAAAAAAATCATTTTTTCTGATTGGGTCCTTGTATTAAAAAAATTGAAACAAGTCTAGTTAGGTTATTATCATAAATTGAAAATGGTGATATGTTACTTGTTTAAAAATGATACTTTAGGGAGACATTCTTGAGGATCCTGCAAATGAGCCGAAGAAGGATATGTACATGATGACGGTTGACCCAGAGGATGCTCCTGACCAGCCCGAGTTCGTCTCTTTTCCTTCTTTCCATCACCCAAATTTTACAAAGGAAACAACGGTTATCTCCCACGTAGGAGTTCAAACATCCCACATGACACCCTCCCCGATGCGCCAATTGGTGGGGCCCATCCCATGCTTGAAATACGAAACAAATCATGGGTGCCGGCATGGTGCCAAGTGGGATGTTCCCTCCATCTGTGGTAAAATGTGGGACAACGGGACATGCTAAAGTGACACCACAGATGACACCAAGGTTGACACCAGACAACAATTGCCCGTGCATGATTGTCTATGGTTGTCTCAAGCTTGGTGTCATCCCCGCGGTTAAAGTGGCATATTTAACAGCATGTTTAACTTTGATCACCCTTCATTTTATTTTTCCCATGTAGATATGTGAACATAGGGATAGTTGCCGGACTTCCGGTTTCCGTCAACGGGAAGGAGCTCTCGCCCGCCACCCTACTCTCTCTCCTGAACGAAATTGGCGGGAAACACGGGATCGGCCGCGTGGACATGGTCGAGAACCGCCTGGTGGGGATGAAGAGCCGGGGCGTGTACGAGACCCCGGGCGGCACGATCCTCTACGCGGCGGTGCGCGAGCTGGAGTCGCTGACGATCGGCCGCGAGGCGATGCAGCGGAAGGACGCGATCGCGCTGGACTACGCCGAGCTGGTGTACGCGGGCAGGTGGTGGGACCCGCTGCGGGAGTCGTACGACGCCTTCATGAGGGAGATCACCAAGACGGCGACGGGGACGGTGACGGTCAAGCTGTACAAGGGGTCGGTCGCGGTGACGGGGCGCGAGAGCCCGTACAGCCTGTACAGGCAGGACATATCGTCGTTCGAGAGCGGGCGGCTGTACGACCAGGCGGATGCGGCCGGGTTTATCCGGCTGTACGGGCTCCCGATGAGGGTCCGGGCAATGCTTGAGAGAGGTCTCTAGTTTGGCTGCTTTCTTCTTTCTTTGGATGGTTGCGGATTGTTTTGGGGGGTTTTTGCCCTTTTTTTTTATTTGGTTTGATTTATTTAAAGACAGATTGAATGTGAAGCAAGAATAAAGAAAGGAGTATTCTCGCTCGCCTGCGAGTGAAAATAGTACTAATGATTATGTGTTTTACACTTTCCTGCTTTGCAAGTGCATCCTTTGTCTGGTTTTTGGTAGCTTTAAGGTCTTAAGTTTGTCTATTGAGTGATAGTGTGATACTCCTATATTGGGTGGACTCATGTTTTGTAATAAACTTATAATTAAAGTAAAACAAAGAGAAAATATTTAAAAAGACTAAAATATGGATTTGCACTGTGATAATATGACACTATAATAAGTATTTCATAATGTTTTTTATGTATATTGGCATGATTCACATTGTATATGCATTTTAATTTTTTTTTTAGAAATAAATTTATAGAACTCTTATTTTGGTATGTTTTTGTATTTTATTTTACTTTTGTCTTTTTTCCTATGACAAATTTATAATTAAAAAAAAATTAGAATGAGCACTTTAGTCCTTTAATATTGATACCAATATAGATTCATAACGAAAGTATGGGTCACACAATGCACGGGTGTGATACTAGTTTTTTGGAATGAGAAAAAAGACAAGAATCATGGGAGGGATGGGTATTATAAAAATCGGTGACAAAATGGGTACATAAGCAAGCAGGGTGAAGAATGATAAAAAATGCCTTAGAGTTAACTGAGGTTAATTAAAATTGCTAGAGAAGCAAAAGCAAGAAGCTGGAATAGCTCAGTTGGTTAGAGCGTGTGGCTGTTAACCACAAGGTCGGAGGTTCAACCCCTCCTTCTAGCGATTAATTTTTCTATTGCTGAAGTTTTAATATACTTGGTACTCCCTCCGTCCCTTTTTCCTTTTCCTGTTTTGACTTTCAACCAATTTAAGGGGCCAAATTTTTGTCATTGACTTGACAAATTTACCCCCAACCCTAATCTAATAAAGAGAAGAAAATAGTGTAAAGTAAATTGCATTTAATGTAGAATGTACTTGCTCATCAAAAGTACAAAAGCAAATAGTGTAAACAAACACATTCCCTCCCAACACACACGAGGGTAATGATGGGGGTTAGGCAAAAGTACAACACAGCCACACAACACCAGCCACAAAATCCATTCAAATACACACCAAAACATGTTTTTAAAATATTTGGCTATTTTTGGAGAATTTCAAAATTCCCTCCAGGGACATCCCTCCAAAAATAGCACACTTTCTCTACTTAAATGAATGCAGTGACTGCATTCAATGCATTCCTCCTCCTTTGTTCTTTTTCCTTCTTTCTCCAATGAATTCTCCATTCGAGTCCCTGTTGTACTCTCCGTCTCGTTCGTTGACTTGTTCCGAGGATGATTCTTCTTCCTTTGACCATCTTCCCCAAGTTATTGAAGAATGAATAAAGCACAGAATCAGACTCTCACCACAACACTTTTGGCACAAAACAGACAAAGGGTTGACCAAATGGATAAAAGTATTCAGTAATGTAAGTCTCCAACCTATACGGGGTGACATTACAACTTTGCCAAATCAGTAAGAAGTTTGCATCATAAGTTTGCCACTTCAGAAAAAAATTAGGGCATGCAGCAGAAAACAGAGAGTAAAATTACAGAAAATAGCGAAATTACTCTTCCTGTAGCGAAGTGCCTTTGCCTCATCTCCATATGGCTCTTCGAAAACAATTTCTGTATCAAACATCGCCAGGATCTGTTCTGAGGTAACAGATTCATCATCTTCATCCTCTTCCCCATTTTCGACACAACCTTCTTCTTCTTTTGAAGGAAAAAAGTCACCCCCTAGATATTTTTTCCGGTACCACCATGTTGGATCTGTATCATCGGTTCCAGATGCAGTGTCCCCAGAGTCATAATCAGGGATTAAAGGCTTCGAAGTAGTTGGGACAGGCGTAAGAGCCAATCTCTCCTCATCACTATCAGATAATAGCTTGAAGCTTGGCATGGTAGGATCAGGAATCCCCATAAGAAATTTTAGATCAATCAAAGAAAAAGAGAAGAGAAATCTGAAGAGAGAAGGGTGCCAGCAATGGGGAAGTGGAATAGGCAGAGAGAAAGGAGACGGAGATGAGAAAATGAGTGGGTGAGGTGGAGTGAATTGATGGATAAGGTAAGTGGAGGGTTTGGGTGGGTTGGGTAGCTTTAATTAGGGTAAAGGGTATTAGGGTCCAAAATTGTGAAAAGTGAAACACTTTTTGGGATAAGAAAAAAACTAAAGGAGAAAGACTTTTTGGGACGGTGGGAGTATTTTTTTTCCGTTTCTCCCTTCAAAATGTAAACGTAACCCCCCATTTTTTAAACAATTAAAATCTGACCCCTCCTTCTAGCGATTAATTTTTCTATTGCTGTTTTAATATACTTCGTACTCCGTATTTTTTTTCTGTTTCTCCCTTCAAAATGTAAACGTAACCCCCCATTTTTTAAACAATTAAAATCTGACCCCTGCTGCTTGGATTTCAAAGATTCAAATGTTACCCATTCATTTCTTTTAGACAAAGTAAAGATTCAAGCTTCAAGCTTCACTTTACCCATTCATAGTTAAACTGAATCCGAAGTAAAAAAAGAGTGGGGTCTGGAGGAGAGATTCATAGATAGATTCAACAGGCAATGGTTGACTCCGCCATGAAAACTCCAAAAGAAGATGAGAAAAGCTTTGTTGCATCAACGATGATCCTCGTGGAAGAATGGAACGGCACATCATCAACAAAGCTCACCAAGACTGCCACCATCTCCTTCTCCCCCTCTTCCTCTCTCCTTATTCACAAATCAGGAAGCCCTTTTGCTCATTTCTCTGCCAAAATTCTCCAAGCTTTCATACCAGAGGCATTCTCTCTCTCTCTCTCTCTCTCTCTCTCATGTACATTCTGATTTGATGGGTAATTACTATAGTTTATCTTGTAATTTAAAGGTAAGTGTGATGGATTGATTCTTTAGGGATGTTTTTTTTAATCTAGCATTCTTTTTATTAGCAAGAGTGATTTTTTTCTTGTTATGGTATCACCTTTCAAACGGAGAACATGTGAAAAGATGACTTTTTTTTGTAGGTGATGATATAAGTGATTTTAAAGAAATTGATGTTTGCTTTATCATGTGTTTACTCAACTGATCACATTTCTTTTTAGTGATGGAAAATTGGGAAATGTTAACTAAACAAAAATGCTTTTCATTTGGCAATGTGTTGTCTTTTTTGTTGTTCTAGTGTTGAGCAGATATGTTTTTGTACCCTTTTTCATCAATAGGGGTTTCCAACAAGTGTGACTCCAGACTACGTTCCGTTTCAATTCTGGGACTCATTGCAGGTTCAGATTCTGAGGACTCGTTTTTGCAATTTTCAATTAATCGATATGAAAGTCAATTTTCAATAGTAGTGGCACTAAAGTTTTAATGATTATTTTAGGGGCTTTCAACTTATGTCCGGATGATGCTGTCGACACAGGTAAGATTTGAGTTTAGAAGAGTGCCATTTTTTTCACCTCTTATTGAAGCATTGTTAGAGGCTCATCCATGCAAAATTTTAGGCTCTTCTGAGTGCCATTGGTGTAGGAGAGAAATCAGCTACTGCCATTGGTGCTACATTTCAGGTACTTTTATTGGGGTTTTAGGCATTGATTGAAAATTGTCTCCGCTCGTGGTGATGACATCAGCTTCCTTCTCATGTTGGACATGGTACAGTGGTTTTTGCGGGATCTAACAGGAATGGTCGGTGGCATTTTATTCACGTTTTACCAGGTTAGTTTGCAGACACTGAAGTTGTTGGCTATTTCTATTAGCAGGTTTATATAAGTATGGAGTAAACCTCACACCAAATCATTGTTAGGGTCCTTTTTAGGGGAATCAAGCCCAATTCAAAAGAACGTTTTTCAGTAAATCTTTGATTTCAGGGTTCAAATTTGGACAGCAATGCCAAAACATGGCGTCTAGTTGCAGATCTTATGAATGATCTTGGTTAGTTCTTTAGCATCCTTCTTTCCAATATTTTGCCAAGAAAACCCATTGAAAAATTATAACTATATCCTCTGTCTTACCTCCAACTGCGTGGGTCTTATTTCTCGCAGGAATGTTGATGGACCTTCTCTCTCCTTTACTTCCGTCTGCTTTTTTGTTCATTCTCTGTTTGGGAAGTTTATCCAGATCATTTAGTAAGTCCAAATTAAAACTTCTTCAATGGGTGTCTAGTACACCACACACAAATAAAACAAAAAGTTATGCCACTTGAAACAATAAATGACAGCCTTTTTATAGTGATGTTATATATTCCGTATAAGAGTTTCATTCATGGTCAGGTGGTCTTTAACCAACATTGTATATATGGTACAAGATGGTAAAGAGATCATTAGTGTTTGATTTAGGCAGACAACTTATTTATGTAATCAGAGAAGAATGACATTAGTTGTTTATAACCAGTTAACACTATAAACTCTTGCAAAAGAGCGCAGTGTCAGAATTTTGCGTCGCATGCTCATTGATAGAAACAATTGGATGAAATTCCAATGCCCTCGTCATATGTTTCGCTTGACAATGAAATATCTCATTGTGTTTTTATTTAGCTGGTGTTGCTAGTGGGGCCACACGAGCAGCTCTAACGCAGCATTTTGCCCTTCAAGATAATGCAGCCGACATATCAGCAAAGGTACATTTTGATCACCAATAAAGTTACAGAGCTTCCCTTGCGGAAAACTGCACATATTGTTACATGTTTTTTTGGCTCCCTTTGATTAAATAAAACAGGAAGGAAGCCAAGAGACAGTTGCAACAATGGTTGGAATGGCATTAGGAATGCTACTTGCTCGTCTTACGACTGGACACTCAATTTCCATATGGATCTTGTTCTTGTCTCTTACTGTTTTCCATATGTATGGTCAGTTTTGCATTGCTTTATTTAAAAAACATACTACGCATCACTCTGCATCATTTGTATTATTACATGTTTTTGTCTCTAATAAGCTGTTCTTGTTCATTTTAATGTTTGAAGCAAATTATAAGGCTGTTTGCTGTCTTTCACTTACCACTATGAACTGTGAAAGGACCTCAATTCTTCTATCACATTTCTTCGAGACGGGGCAAGGTTATCCCACAATCCTCCTCCTATTTCAAAAATATCAAACCAACATATAAGATCTTGGCCTCTTGGATTATAGTAGAATGGTACTACCAAAACATATCAAGTCATCTCACATTTTCTTATGACACTGGTTCCAGTTCTCTCTCCAAAGCAGGTTTCAACTGTGGAGACTATTCTACCGTCATGGATGACCTCGTGGAGCAATAAGAACATTAATTCTTTACACCAGAGAGTTCATTTAGGCGTGAGCATTACTTCACTTAAATCACAAGAAATGTAAGTTTGGTTCCATCTACCTAAATAGGTGTTGCATATCTTAGTCTTGCTTTCCAATCTACGGAGTATATTACAGATCAATATCTATTCAGTGAATGTTTTTTTCGTGATGTATAGGGAGAACGTCTTAAAGTCCGCTGGATCCCATTACAGAAAAGGTAGATATGCTGCATTTTTAACTTTCTATTGTAAATATACATTATTTTTTTTAACCTAAATTATATGTCACTCTATGTAGCTAAGTATTTACTGCTGGAGAAAAGTGGGTTCATCAGCGTTGTTGTGCATAAAGATTCAACCCCTGGAGATGTCTTGCAGTCATTCATACATGCTCTTGTCATGTCAAAACTTGCTGCTGGGTGTAAGCAATCTGTGCATGTGGAGAGTGAATTATGGATCGAAAAGCACTACGAACTCTTCATTAGAAAGGTTTTCTTCTACTCCACGGCATGGTTTCTTAAAGTTAACAACTTTGAATTTCACCATATAGCATAACACTGAGTTATATCTGTTTCCCTTTGCAAGCTAGTGAAGGGTCTGTTTGGCATGCATAACCTAAAAGCTAGATCAAAGCTACAATGTAAATAGGAATTGAAAGTTTTAATTGATGTTGGAAAATGTTTGGAATGTTTACGTGTTGATTGAGTTGTGGATTTATAATATAAAAAACACAGTGGAAACAAACAAAAAGGAGATTATAAAATTATAATGGAATCAAACAAAAGCTAGGAAAATTATTATTGGAAACAAACAAAAAGCTAGGAAGATTGTCTGTGGAAACTACCAAAAAGCTAGGAAGATTAGTAGTGGAAACAAACAAAAAGTTAAGAAGATCATTAGTGGAAAGTGGAAACAAACAGATTATTAGTGGAAACAAATAAGAATATTTCTAAGATGCTATACTGGTATTAGATACCCCGGAGTGGCTTTTTTAAATAAGAGCATATTTAGCCTATTATTCTACTTACTCAACATGACTAATACTCTCTGGAGCTTGAAATAAGTTAAAAGCTCCAGAATAAGCTCTACCCTCTCAACTTATATCTACCCTTCTCTATTATGGCAGCTTCAGTCATCTGGATGGAAAACAGAACGCCTTTTGTCACCTTCAATCACCTGGAGGGCAAAATGGTCATCAGACTCGTCAGATGATAAAGCAGACTAAGAATTTTCAAGTCCAATCTGGGAATTGCAGTGCAGGGTGAAGCTCTAATTTCGTGTTTCCTCCCTGACAATCACTATGGTAAAAAAGGGTTCTTGTTTGAAATCTGCTTACAAGTATTTATTCTTTTAGCTGCTTCTTGGCAAGAGGACTCGCCTCTTCGGCTCACTTTCCACAATTTCTTATGTGCATATGTTGATCAAGAAACTGTGAAAACTTCGACATCTGATGAGTCAACATAAAAGTTTCCATGTAACAGAGTTTAAAGATCTGAGGGGCATATCAGTCATTAGGGAGTGAGAGTTAGAGCATTATATGTTGTAGTAATACTTAAAAGAACAAACAATGTACTAGTTGAATAATAATGTTCCTCTATTCTTGGAAGTTTGCTATGCTTTTATCTAAACTCCCCTTCTTCCTATTTACATAGATTGATCATTTTTCTTTGTTTTAATTTATTTGCACATGCATTAATCTATGAAGGTTAACTACTACTAGTATTTTTTTTCTTTCTCCAATTTACCCTTAAACTATCCAGTTCACTTTTTTTTTCTAAAAGTGGAAACATTAATGAGAGGGTGTCATTCAACTAGAGTACAACTTTAATTTATCATCCCAATACACTCTCTTGAACTACTTAATTGGTTCATTTCAGTTCTATCTATGGAGTAGTTGTAAGGTCCTAGTCTTTTGTCCACCTAGAGGTTATACCCCAACGGCCCAACCCCCAGGTCCCACCTACCGACCCAGACAATAGATTGAAATAAATTAAATTTAACTATAACCCCGAATCTGAGTGAGAGAGTATGAGATTTGTCTCTGATACATGCAAGAATTACATATTCAGCATGATCATCTTTTTTCACAGTTGTAAGATTCAAACCAAGGTTAACCCATGTGGCATTACCCTCTCGTCCATATGGGGGTAAGGTCTTCCGTCCACCTAGAGAGCTTATTTGGTAAGGTCTAAAATGTTTGAGGTGACTAAATATATAGATATTGTTGAGGTTAATGGATTTGTTGAAATTATGGTTGAATTGGTCTAAATAATTATCAACAAAATCATTTTAAAATACTTATTTATGAAGTATAATCGAAGAAAATAGTATGGAGTACTAAAATTTTGAAGATTGACGTTGTCAAGAACCAACTCAACTACAATCTCAAACTTATACTCCCTCCGTCCCAAATTATAATGCATGTTTACTATTCACAGGGTCAAACTTCATTAACTTTCTTTCTCTATTTTCGTTAGCAATTTGATAAAATAAAATATTATTGTCACTACTAGTTTTGTAGATCTTTTGATGTAGTTTTTTAATATGTAATTTTTATTTTTTAATTCTATACCATTTGTCATATAAAATGGTTTGAAAATAATTTCAGTCAAACATCGTAAACCGAAACAGGCGTTATAAAATGGGACGGGGGGAGTAACTATAAACTAAGGATAAATTTCTCCATACACTAAGACCCATTCGTAGCAGACAAGATTTGTTTTTGCTCGAATCTTACATGTGAACATTAGATTTTTAAAACTAGGTATCAGTGACGCTCCATATGACTTGGTTAGCAAGGCTCTAATACAATTTCAAAAAATCTACTCAACCAAAACTCACATTTATGGTTGTAATTTCATGAAATATTTTACTCTAGCTAATAAATAGTAGTATGTCATCTTATATAACTTTAGAAATGTTAAAAAAAATTGCACTAGATTGAAATAAATTAAATTTAACTATAACCTCGAATCTGGGTGAGAGAGTGTGAGATCTGTCTCTGATACGTGCAAGAATTACATGTTTAGCATGATCATCTTTTTTCATGTTGAGAGAGTGTGAGATCTGTCTCTAATACGTGCAAGAATTACATGTTTAGCATGATCATCATTTTTCACGTTGTGAGGATTCAAACCAAGGTTAACCCATGTGGCACTACCCTCTCGTCCATCTGAGGGTAAGGTATTTCGTCCACCTAGAGAGCCTATTTGGTAAGGTCTAAAATGTTTGAGGTGACTAAGTAAGTATATTGAAATTGTTGAGGTTAATGGATTTGTTGAAATTATGGTTGAATTGGTCTAAATAAATCTCAACAAAATCATTTTAAAATACTTATTTACGGAGTATGATAAAAGAAAATCATATGGAGTATAAAAATTTGAAGGTTGATATTGTCAAGAACCAACTTAACTATGATCTCAAACTTATAACTATCGACTAAGAATAAATTTCTTAGTACACTAAGACCCGTTCGGAGTAGGCAAGATATGTTTTTGCTCGAATCTTACATGTGAACATTAGATTTCTAAAACTAGGTATCAGTGACGCTCCATATGACTTGGTTAGCAAGGCTCTTATACAATTTCAAAAAATCTACTCAACCAAAAACTCACATTTATGGTTGTAATTTCATGAAATATTTTATACTCTAATAAATAGTAGTATGTCATCTTATATAACTTTAGAAATGTTAAAAAATTGAACTATATTATTTTTATGGTACAATGAAATAAATTTAATTGATGTTTCTTGAAAAGAATCTAGCTGACAATCCCAAAAAAAGACATACCAAACAGCCTTAAAGAACCCCAAAACTCTCTATGGGTAAAGGAAATCTTGGGGCTCCAAATGGCTGAGAAGGCAATCCAAGACAAAACACACAGTTTGAGAGTGAAGATGTGAGAGGTCAAAAGCATTGAACTCATGAACAACCCCATCAACTTCAATCCAACTACACCCTTTGCTCTTCTCAACCCCATTGTCTCTCATCATTCTTCTCACTTCCCCCACTGCTTTCCAGTTCTGAGACATTGAATGCAGATTTGCCAGAAGTGTGTATCTCCCACTGTGGTGTGGTTGTAACCTGACCAGCAGATTCCCTACCCATTCCCCCAACTCATACTCCTTGTGGATCAGACATGCTCCAAACAGTGCACCCCACACACCAGGCGTGGGCTCCACCGCCATCCCCCTGATCAACTGGACCGCTTCCTGGATCCTCCCGGCTCGACCCAGGAGGTCAACCATGCAACCGTAGTGGTCAACATTGGGTTTTACTCCGTAGACACATTCCATGTCTGCAAACAGTCTCTCTCCTTCATCCACTAGTCCACCGCGAGAGCAACCACTGAGGACTCCTATGAATGTCACCTCATTCGGCTTTACGCCGTTGTCTAACATTTCTATGAAGAGATCTAAGCACTTCCCAGCTTCGCCGTGCATTGCCAAGCCGTTGATTATGGCTGTCCACACGTAAACATCTTTAGTCCTAAATGGTATTTTCATGAAAAGGGAGAGCGCTTCGTCTATGCACCCACATTTTGCATATAAATCTACCAAAGAAGTGGCAAGGCCGGAATTCAAACTGAACCTGTGTGACTCGATATAGTTCTGGACCCACCTGCCGCGTTCTAGAGCACCTAGCTTAGTACATGCTGTGAGAACGCTTGTTAGTGTCGCTTGGTTCGGCTCTAATCCACTGGCCAGCATGTCTTCAAAAGTGGCCAATCCCTCCTTGAATCTCTCACAGTTTACATATCCAGATATCATTGCAGTCCAAGAAACTAGGTTCTTGTTTGGCATTTCGGCAAAGACTAAACTTGCATCACTACACAGTCCACATTTGGAATACATATCCACTAGAGAGCTCCCAATGTAGATATCTTGAGGGACTCTACCCGGCACTATATAGAACCCATGTAGCCACTTCCCGAACCAAACACATCTCGACATCCCTACTGCGCAAAGCGCACTCACTACGGTGCCCTCGTCCACACTCACACCCGCCCTTCTCATCTCTAGAAAAAGCTCCAGGGCATCTGCTGGCCTACTGCTCCTGATGTACCCATCAATCAACGCGGTATAAGAAATCACGTCCCTTTGTGGCATTTCAACAAACACCTTGCAGGAATGGTCAACATACCCGCAGACAGCGAGCGTGGAGACCAAAGAGTTCTGCACAAAAAGGTCAGCATCGAACCCGAATTTCACAACTTGGGAGAAAACCTGGAGTGGGTTTTCTGTTTTGGCGATGGAGAAGGCCTTGAGAAGCAGAGGGAAGGTGTGTCTGTTGGGAGGGACGAGATTTTCCCGCATTTTGGAGAAGAAAAGAGCGGAGGCGCGAGGGTTTGAAGCTTTGGAATAGCCCTTGATCATGGAGTTCCAGGAATGGGCATTGGGTTCTTTGATTCGGGTGAAGATGGAAAGAGCGTATGAAGAGGGGAAAGAAGGGAGGGACACGCATTGGTCCAGCAATTGCCGGAGCCAAGAATTGGGGCGGCGGAGACCAGATGTGGTGAGCAGAGAGTGAATCTTCTTGATTTCGATCAAGTTCCTTCCTTTATGAGGCGAAAGCAGATGATTTAATTTCTCAGGGAAGCTGGATATGGGGGCTGACATTAGACTTTTACGGGACCAGCCACAAACATCCTACGATTCCATACCCTTTCTTCGCCACCTCTCTCCTCTTCCTCTTCTTGTATTCCCCCTGTTCACGACAAATGTTGTTCTCCAACAAATCTGTAACTTTTTTTTAAATTTGTAACTTTTTTTTTGAGTAAATTCCATAATTGGTCCTTTATAACAGGGAGTTTCTATATTTAGTCCTCTATTATCAAATATTACCCCGTAGTCCTTTTTTTAAGGGTACCTTTCCACAAATGGTCCTTTTTTGATCTTCTACCGTGTTGGCGTTAATTTAAAGGCTAAAAGTATAATTTGACATCAACATTATGTCTAGTGACGTGTTCTGATATTGGTTAAGCGAATAACACAAAAATAATGACTATGATTGTGGGCTAGGATTCTGACGAAAGACCACATTTGTAGACTATGGTTGTAGTAAAAAGCGACTGTAACTCACAAACGACGCAAACGGTACAGCCTTTGGAATTGTGTATGACAAAAAAGATATATTATCATTGTAAAATTACACTTTTAGCCCTCAAATTAACACCAACATGATAGAAGATCAAAAAAGAACTATTTGTGGAAAGATACTCATAAAATAAGGACCACTAAAGTAATATTTGTTAATAGAGAACTAAATAGGGAAACCCTCCTGTTATAAAGGACCAATTATAGAATTTACTCTTTTTTTTTAATTCTGCTTTAACTCTCCAACAAATCTTCTTGATTATATTTTCAGAAAAAATACGGAGTATCAAAAATCGAAACATACAATTTAGAAAGAAGAATATTATCCTTGACCCTCAGTCCCACTCACAACGTACTGGACGGTCACATGAAAGAATGTAAATTAAAATTTATGAACGGCCCAGTTCCATGGCCACTGGAATCCAGTGGCCACGGAAGCCACTGCCACCCTACGAAACTCCATTCATAAAATTGATGATTCTTACCCCCCTAACCCCCCCGGTAAACCCCTCGCCAAGTCCCGACCCAAACTCATCACCCCACCTACGTCAATTGCACCTCGTAAGCATAATTGATTTTAAAGTCAAAAGTTTTGACTTTATGCTTACGAGGTGCAATTGACGTAGGTGGGGTGATGACTTTGGGTCATGACTTAGCGGGGGGTTTAACGGGGGGTTAAGGGGGTAGGAATCATCAATTTTATGAACGGAGTTTCGTAGGGGGGCAGTGGCTTCCGTGGCCACTGGATTCCAGTGGCCATGGAACCGGGCCGATTTACGAAATGTACATATAAAGTGTCACAATACTTCAACGCAAAATTTTATTTTGAAGATAAAAACATAAGGTTCTTATTTTAGAACTTTTTCTAAATATTAAATATGAAAAAAAATTGTTTGAGATCTACTCCGTATAAAAGTGTTTGAGATCAATTTTTTAAAAATAATTATCAGCTTTCAATTTGAATTAAAATAATTTGTAATATTTGATTTTAGATTTCTCATAGATGAACAAAGTCATACTCTCTCTGTCTCATAATGAATATCATACTTTGGTTAACATACAAAATAAAATTACTTTTAAAATTAGTTTAGTTACAAATTATACTGTTCAAAATTACATAAAAATTCTATTAGACAGGAGGTGACAAAATTATTTTATTTTATTAAATTATTAATGAAAATATACAAACAAAAGTTATCGAGAAATTATTATATTAAGAGTGGTAGTATCTATTTTAGGATAAAGATAGTACTTTTAGATTTTATTGTTGATATAATAACATCCAAACACTGCACCCATCTCAACCACATAGTAATTTGATACTCCGTACTTGAGCACAATTATGCTTTTATGTTCTTCTTGGATCTTCACATAAGAAAATTCTTATCATAAGTTATAATATTGGCATAGTTTCCATGAGACCATGAGATTGGGAATAATGTCACGAGATGACTCATGAGTATTACGAAGCTATGTCTGAAAAATTAATGATTCCTATCATATCTAACATTTCCGGTAATCATTCGCCCTGATTCAACCTGAAACCTCCCCCCCTACCTCCTTCAATTGTACAACTCAAATTTTAACTTTTGAATCAAAATTTGAATGAAAAATAATTTAAATAAATTCTTATTCTAAAATTATAAAATTGGGTATATAACTATTCCATATTAAGAAAATCTGAAAATCCATGAAGTCTTGACCTAAGACTCACCTAAAAGTTTGTCCTCATTTTTTTATTTTTGAAACTAATATTCCTTACCTCTCACTAATAAAACTTCCACTTTCATTTTTGGTAAGGAATACATAGCTAGTGTACAAAACACCTCTCTTTTTTTATTTGCAGACAAAACATCTCTTTAGACAA